CAGTCAAAGCTGATATGAGATGCCTGATATGGATAGCCATCATTATGAAGTTTGCTTCTTGTCTTATTGGATAAGAAAATGTATTTTACTTCCCTGTGGATTCACAATTTGCTAATAGATAGATCTAGTAAAGAACATAACCTCATCTACAAAGGCACATTTCTAAAAAGGGAGTACAGAAAGAGAAGATTGAAACTTCCTCCTGAATAAATGAAGGACCAGTGAGGGGGCAAGACTGGAATTTCAATGAACCTCACCTTTAAATGTGTGGAAATACAATTTTTTGTTATTATTAATATTATTACTACTACTATTACTGTTACTATTACTATTATTATTAGCTTGTGCTAAGGCTGACTTCAATGTCATTATGTTTTACTGGTGTTAGGATGCTTAAAATCAGGGTACTGTTTTTATTTTCCAATTAGCACTCCAGAATTATTCACATAGAAGAGAGGCAGTACATGCAATCAGTTTTTCCCCATTTAGTATGAGTTTATAATGTGAAGTATTTTCTAGCGGCCAGTGGTGTCCAAGAACATTTGGAGTATTTATGGGGTGTGTGATCTGAGTATTGAATCTCTGTTCTTAATAATACACAATATGGGGTGGGAGATGAATCTCTTACTTCCTAAGAAAGTGTCCTAGCCCTTGAGCTTCTGGAGGTAGATGTAAGAGTGTTTTACAGTTTTGACTAGAAATTTAATTATTTTAATGAAATGCCGTTGTATCACAAGCTAAGAAATAGCTGTGAAATTGCTTCTTGGAGATAATACATACTAGTTAGTGACTCGCATATAAAATGCAATACAACCAGCCTTTCTAAATATATTTTCCTGCTTTACAATTTCACTATTCAGTTTATTATCATCTACATGTAGGAACCTTTTAATCATTTGGGTTTGAGGGAGAGCATTAATATTGTTTGGTTTTGTAGTGAAATCTGATAAGCTGTGTATTTCTCCTGGATTTTTGACAAAATTATGTATTTATTGCCTTGTTTGAAATTCAGATGCACTCAGCATTTTAATCTGAGCCCATTTTATTTCTGTGTATACCCTGTGGTATTTCTTTATGCTTGATGAATTTCTCTGGAGATTTTTTTAAAAGCTTTGAAATTGACTATCAGGTACTACAAACAGGTTCATTCAACACTGCAATCAGCTAGTCTATTAATGGAATCAATTTGAATAAATTTCATTAAATAAAAGTTCTAAAAACAAGAGATGGCATATCAGGAAGCTTGTAAGAACTGTTTTCTAGGGGTTCTAGTCCAAAAATAAGATCCAGGAAGCAGTAGGATTTCTTAACAGTTCTATTTTTTTTCCTGAGGAAAATAAGCTTTATAATACGGAGTGCACCGTCCCTGTTCACAGACTCTATTGGTGTTTCAGATCCAGTACATTCCTTAGAGTACAAATAGTTTTGAACTATTTTGTTAGCTAAAGTCACTTTGGTAGAATTCAATCACATCTGCAGTCTTTCCTAAATGTAGACTTATCATTTCCCCTACCAAATTTTAAAAGGCCATTCCACTGCGTTTTTTCAAGTGCTGCATTAAGCAGTGTGGCCATCGTATTGTACCTGTGGTGGTGCATCCTGTGGGCAGAGTATACTGTCATGTTAGGGTCTGGGTTGCAAAGACTGCCTGGGGTCTGTCCTGTCCATTTGATTGTGTGTTCAGATTAAAGAAGCCAGTGTTCCTTGAACACTGAAAAGAAGTTAGCATTTTGATGGTCGTTCCTGACAGTGGTTTATTTTGTGATCCTGGACCACAGATAAGACCAGTAAGTACAGGATTTGTGTCCTACACAAAGGAGAATTTCTAACAGAACTTAAAGGGAAAGTGTTCAATCCTGTTAAAAATCACCATCCCATGGACTGAGAGCACCTGACCAGGCTTCCTGTTGCTTCATGTGCCAGCAACATTTGTGAGATGTAAAGAATATACTGCTCAGTCCTGCTGCCCCTCCATGTATTCACACAGTGTTTTCATTTTTAAAGGGACTGCTGATGTGAAAAATTGCTCCTGAAATTCTAATCCCACTTCTGTGTCTTTTTGTACATCAGTTTTCGTACAGGGCTATGACATATTTTGCAAATAATTAATCACCTTTGATCTAAAGATAACTTGGCCCATCACATTAATGAAGTGATGTTGGTAAGTAATTTTGTGGGGACAGGACCTAGTCACTTTTTTTCTGGGTAGCTATGTACCCACTCTGGTAGGGCCAAAAATAAGTATACAGTATAATTTGAAGCTGCAGGGAATGCAGGCAGAACTCTGTTCACTAGATATTTAAACAAAATGGCATGAAAACAAGTAACAAAATACCTTCTCTATGTTATGTGCCAAAGATTTCCTAGTAAGTAACAATACCAAGCTTTCAGCATGCCAGGAAAACGCTGTCAGTTCTGCAGCAAAATGTGTTGCAAAGTGATTTATCTGCCATAGGTAGAACTCTGTTCTTAAACAGTTTGTTTAATTAACAGTCTGCTTGTTTAAGAACAGAGTTCCTTAATACCCTGCCTGAGATCTTTTGATATGCAATAGAAATGCCATAGACTCCTCTAGACTGCTTCAGAACTATTTCAGACCCAAGAGAAATTCTTATATCCCTAAGCAGCCATTAAAGACAGGAGAAATAATTTTTCCTGAAAGGCTGATAAAGCTCAGAGAAGAGATGTTTTACAGAGATAAAGTGATTGTTCTTTAAATGTATGGAATACGGAGATTAGAAACATAGGATCTTTGAGTTTATGTTAGATCCCAGAATTTGGAGACTTGAATTTTAAAATAAATAGTACCAGATGGGAGAATTCAAGCAAACCATTTTGCATTAGTGTTGGCAAGCTAAGCCAGGGCCACAAATACACAGATAATTAAGGTGGTCTAAATTGTTCCTCTTGTTGTAACAGGAACTTACAATAATTAAGGAGTAAGGGAGATCCATCCTGCTGCATAGGATGCACCTGTGTAGCAAATGTTACCCTAATGATACTGTCTTGTTCTGATTGTGAGAAATCGCAAGAACTGGGAGAAGTGTTACCAGAAATGAGCTATCCAGCTGTTGGGTCATTGACTACTAATTCTCATACTTAGGCCCGTTTTCAGAAACCTGTAGCCCAATTTACAAGAATTCAGAACGCTTTGAGGTTAAACAAAGCTAGTGGGAGCTGGATTCTGAAAATCCCGCGTGCTTTGAACAGGTAGGAGACTGGAAAAAAATCAAGACAGCTCATCTCAAAGGTGTAGTAACACTTTTGATAGTGTTGTGCCTTGATTTTATCCGTAAGAAGAGGTTACTGCAGGGAGCTGTTAAGATAAGCTATTTATTGTTTGTGAAACAGCTAATTAATATGATGATTAACATCCTAGAGGGATCCTAGGAGAAAAATAATAATTCAGTATTCAGTGCACAGCTTGGATACTTTATAACAAATGAGATATACAAAATATTTTTAAGAAACCTGTCCATTCAGTGGGTATTGATAAATCTAAACACAGAACAGTACTTCAGCACCAAGTTTATCAGTATGGGGGTAAAGAACTAAGTTTCACATGCAACCTAAGTTCTGGTCATTCATTTCTGAGTTCTTGACTTTGCAATTTAACATTCTCTTTTGGTTTTTTTTTGTCTTCTTTTGGTCTTATTTTATTTTTTATGATACCACATCTAGCAGTTGGAATAGGCTCTTACACAACAGTACATTATACCAGTATATCTCCCCAAAAAAGACAAGTCCATTAGAGCTTCTGATGTCTATGAGCTGCAGACAAATGTTTTTGACATGTAGATAAACATCTCTGTGGTCCTATTGAGAGGTTCTAGATTTTGATCACTTAAGAGATTGTAATTAAACCTGTATTTAAAAGAAGGCAACATCTAGAAGGCTTGGCTTGTTCTTGTAACAGGAATGCTGAAGAGAGTTTTAAAAATACTAGCTGTATTTTAAGGAAAAGAAATAAATACAAGTGTTTTCAAGAGAGCTAACACTGATTTATGATGAAAGCAAAACCAAGTAGTCAGGAAAGGTTTTTGGACTGGTAAGGTCATGTGGAACTCACACAAGAATAGCTCTTCATATTGCTGGAGTGCTGCAGTGTCCATGTGACCTTTCCAATGAGCTTTGTTTTCTTTCTTCCACTGGAGAAGGCTACCTGCCCTCACTCTCTCCTCAGGGATTATCTCAAATTGTAGCAAGTCTGCGAGTAGAGCGTGTATCATCACTGTGTATTTGACAGTGAAATTATGTGTTTTGAACAGACTTTTTAGCTTGGATGCCATCTGACTCAATCATCCAAATGCTTCTTGTGAGTGAAACAGCCTCAGCAATTGAAAATCACTCATATGGGACTAGTTTTAATAAAACCACCAGAAGGTGTTTGTTTTCCTAGGCTTGAACCTGTTCTGCATCAGAAGGAATTCGGTTAATTCTGTCCTTCAGGCACTGAAGAGTGTCATATTTTGGAAGACTATTAACAAGACTAATGTCAGTTTTGCCTAACTAAAAGCTGTACTGTCCCTTTTAACTCTTCCCTCTTTCATGCTGTCATTCATTTCATATCAGCACCTTTGAAAATGTGCCTGTGAGGTGGTATGCTACATCGGATTGTTTGCACAGCAACTTTCAAATAAATGTTTTTGTAATACATCACCATAGCCAGTAAAACAAGATATTCTTTGTACTGTAGTTGCATGTCAGCAACAGTTGGCATTCAAGGTTTCATGTGCTCATGCCACTACTGGATTTTAAATGCCCTTGTATGACTTGGACAAAAAAAAATTAAGTTGTTCCATCTATAAAACCTGCTCTTTTTAAATCAAGCATTAGTGGCATTGGATTTTAGCACTAGGGGTTGTTCACTGGCACAGTGTCTTCAGAGGGACGTGGTTCCCTCACAGGCATCATGGAAACATGCAGTGAAACACCTCCAAAGGGCTGGACCATGTACTTTTTCACCTTTCTCTCTCTGTTGCTCTTTGTCCCTCTGTTAGGAACTGTACTCTAAAGCTTCCCATGTTTTAGTGGAGTTGGTGACGGAGCTGTTTCTTCAGAACCTGCCTGTTGTGACCAGCCTCTCTGTAAGAGAATGTGAGCTTCTGAAAGAGGACTGGCAGGAGAATTTGGTCCCTCAGCTGGAAAAGTGGGAGACCCACCGCCAGAGACGCTGGAACCTTTTCCAGGAACAGCTATTGCAAGAAAAAAAAGTAAGAAAGACCATATTTTGTTCTGGGACCCCAGGGTTTAAAAACAGGTATATAATAAAAAATCATGATACTTATCTGTGGGAGGTATTTTGTGTATAAATATACAGCCCAGGTCCAGACACAGGTCCGTACTCAGGATGAGCAGTTTGACCTGCAGTATGGAGTGAATATATATGCTGTGCATGTAGACTTGCATAGAGGAGTCAGAGAGTAATTCATGAACATCTGTCCACAATGTTTGACAGCTTTGTCAGCACATAAGCATTTTTTGGCAAGGCTGCTGCTGTCTGATGTCCTCAACTCTTGAGCATCTACAGAAACAGTTCAAAAAAACCTTCATCTGGTTTGTTTGAAGAGGTTACATATGAGTACAGTTTATAGGAAAGGAGGCCTTACAATCATTTTTATGTATTAATAGTATAATAATTGAAAACATATGGTACACACTTCATATAAAACTTATTCTTTACTCTGAGAAGGTGAAGAACCACACATCCATCTTCCCTGTTTTGTTCATGCCCAGCATAGGGGGCACTGACACCAAAGGAGAAAAGCAACAACAGAAAATGCGGAGGCATTAGGCAGAAATTCAAACATACCTTCAATTTATTCATGCAGTGCTGTGTCTCTATTAACACTGCTTTGAAGACTAACACAGCTTAGTCAAAGGAAGTCCTTCTCTGTACAAAGGTATGCTCCTTCCCAAATGTTAAGTGTGTGCTACAACATATAGAGTAATTGGAGCTTCTTAAATAAAAGGTTGGCAGAGTTCTTTAAAACTGACAAAATCATACTTTTCCCTGCCCTCTAAAGTGTCTGAACAATCCAGTTCATGGTTAATAAGGTACTGATTGAATCCCTAATTATTACAGACTGCTATAAGGTCTTTCACTTTCAACCCACTCATAGTTAGGGATCTTCCATAAAACCCTGTGATTTGGGAAACTGGGCTTCCTACTAAATCTAATAGAGAGGTTTGCTGACCTGTGGTCTTAGAACACCCTTGGGAATTCAAAAGTAAAATTATTTATTGGAAATTCTTAGCCATTTCCTTTTTTTATTCTCTATTTTCCTTAATCTGGAGTTACACAATATGCACCTCCCTGAACTTTTTATATTTACTTTATTGTAACTCACCTGTTAACTATTTTGAAAAACAATTCTGCTTGCCTCTTCTGTTTCTATGTCACAGGGATATCTAGCAAACTAAACTAAAATATGCTTGAGACCGACCAGTGAGTCTGGTCACATGCTTTAAGTTAAGAGTGGGCAGCTGTGTTTTCTAGGGCTGCTGGTTGGCATTAAGTGTTTGAATTTGGCATACCTATACCTTCAGTGATTAATGAACCACTGTCGGACCTCAGTTTTTTTTTGTTCTGCCCCTTTTTATCAAGGATCAGATTAAATACCTGACTTGGCAAGCTTAAACCTCTAGGCTGCTGTTCCTTTTCACATTCACCGAAAGTTCACAAATTGCCTGTCACTGTATGTGAATGACCTGAGCAGCCTGGTCTAGTAGGTGAACTACAAGCATGTCTCGTTGTGCATGGAGCCCAAAGCACCATGGTGGTATCTGCTGTCATTAGAAACCACAGTCAGAGAAGGAGGAGGTTCTGGTGTGCAATTTAGGATTGGGCTCAGAAGTCAGAGTGCATGTTAGGGCACCTTTGCTCTGGTCCTTCCACTGTCCCATTGAGCCTCAGCCGTTGTTCAAGGCCAGAGAGGGTGCAATTTAACAGCTAGGAGACTCTCCGCAGAAGGTGAGATCTCAAGTCCGAAGTTTTGTTCCAAAAATGCCGTTTATGCATTCCTCTGCTACTGTCATTGGGCACAGTATTGAGTGGAGAAAACACACATTTTTTTGCCTTTTCCTATTATAAACGCATCAGCATGTACATTTAAGCAATATACTGGCACTTGTGTTCTACAAAAAGGAGCACTTGGTTTCCACATTTAGAAAAGAAGGAGTGATCAGATGGGTGATCATGTCATTTAGGAGATCCTACAGATGTTACAGTGCTGTATATGACAGAAGATCCATAAATCAACATTCATATTGATAGGCCTTTTAATTTAGTAGGCATTTCCAGGCATTTTCTTTCATTTGCCTCTTGATAAATGTACTGTAATAAGTTATGTAATCACCTACTTTACAGACTTGGAAAGTCTAACACCAGAAGGCTTTTCACCAGGGTATTTACGTGTGCTTTTTAGGGTGGCCTAAAAAGACATTTTTCCCGTTTACTTGAACTGCACTTTTTTTTTTTTTTGAGGTTATCTTTCCTGGCATTTATACATATCTGAAATACGATGTCCTTTCGGGGAACAGAATCTCTTTTACAATTGAAAAGAAAAAAATCAGTTTCATATTTAACTTTGCCTTATACACTTGCTGATGTGAGTGAGGCAAATGTGAATAAATTACTAATGAAAATAAATTTTGAGCATTTTCCCACACAGCCCCTACCAGACGAGCTCTGCTGCCTGGGCAGCAGTTACCGGGAGCAGACTGCTGCACCAGGCTGAGGTACTTGCTTGGCATTTGATGTGCATCGCACACCATCTACAGGCTGTTCGGGAGAAATTGCTTTCCTTGGATTTCCGGAATAATCTGTGCTAAAAATGTGAAACTGAGAGCTGCAGAAAAAAGAGTGATCTTACTTGGGTCTAATTTGCTGTTGTATCTGAGGTCTAACTCAAAATATTTTATGGGTTTCATTACCTACAAAAGGCACATTCCTCACCTTTATTGCCAGAGAGTAATACTTATTGTTAGCAGTGCTCCAGAAGGTCTTGTAATGAACTTGTTGCCAGGAAGCAAGACACTGAGAAGCTTACAGAGTAAAAATGCAGTGAGGACATTTTTGTCCATTCCCACATTATTGCTTGACACCCAGAAAGCTGAACTGGCATCTGCTTACCAGTTTTGACATGGTGTGCAATCTATCTCTTTCTTGTTGTTTTATACTCATTTTTTTCATAGAAGTTGGAATGACTCCTCAAGAAGCCAGATGTTCCTCAGAGCTTTATTCCCCCATTTATCATGCTTTTGTGACTGGTTTTACTGGTTAAGTGAAGGAATCGGAGAGCCTTAATTTTGTTCCAGCCACTGAGTCTGTGCAGCAGCGTGATTTTCTCTGCTCTGTACAACCTGTATCTGAGCAAAGTAAGGCCATTCCCAAGAATAGGAAAGCTTGGAGGGGCGCCTGGTGACTTGACCCAGCCCTGGAAGATTGGTGCAGTACAAAGCCTGACCTTTCCACCTGCCTTGATGAAATAGCTGTCTCTGTTTTGATGGTCTTCAGTCATACAGCAGCAGCCTCAAATTAAGATTCCAGAAGGTTATTTGCTGTTGCATTTGTGCCTGTATGTGTGAGTTCTAGTATTTCAGAGGTAGAAACTATCCAGCCCTCCCATCCCATCCCAGTGAGCTGCTGAAATGTTTCTTTCAATGAAACATACAATATTCTGTTTATTCCCAGCTGATCCTTCCTTTCTTGATCATCTTCCTAATGGCCTTTTTGAGACAGAACGCTGGTTTAGTATTTGGTCCAAATCTCAATCTTCCTTACTTATCATCCCATTTTATATGTGTAATAATCCCCCTCCTTTCCTCTTTGTTCTTTTACTGCTTATATGGTTGATGTACTTCTGCTGTTCAGTTTAATAACTGTGTGCCAGCAGGGTTTTCTGATGTATTCTCAGCTTTCCGTTGGTCTCAGGGAAGTGAAGAGACCTTTTCTAAATTTTGCATACAGCTTACCTGAAAGGCACTTGCAATGGAAAAAGTGACTCATTCTTTTCCTTTAAAAGAAACTGTTCACCACTACAGAACTAGGCTATTTCTTCGTTAACAGAAGTAACAAATTACTACAATCTCTGTCTTTGTTATCATGCAGAGTGCCTTTTTGGATAGGATATATTGATAGCAGCAGAGGTGCTAAATTTTGGTTTCTTGCTGCAATATTATATCATTTACCATTTCAGTTGTAATTCAGAAAACGTCTCCTGTCTCCTGTGTCTTGGTGTTCTATACCCTCATGCTGTTTGACAGTAAGCGTGCAGACAGGCCCTTCAAGATCAACTTCACAGTGAATAACCAGGTTTCCAAAAATGATGGGAACCCACATCTGAGCCACTGCCAGTCTCTCATTGAAAATGAAAATACTTCTATAAAGTAAAAGGTCATTTTCAGCCCTTCTTATAAGTGCTGAAAGAGACATCAAAATACACAATACAATGGATCTACAAGGTGTATGCAGAGAGGTGTGAAACTGTAGGAAGCCATATCCACAGAGCTGCTGAAGGGAAATACTGATACAGTTATTACTTCAAGCAAGTATTTGCCATCTGTTATGATGTTATCTGGAGATGTGATAGATCTTAATTTGACAGTTGCAGCATGCAATCAGGGAGGGCGCTGTGCTCAGCTGTGCTCTGTGATTTTAAGAATCTCCTAGTCTCAAATCAGTTGAGGTCTGGCTACACAGGTACATCTTGCAGCTCTTTCCGAGAGCAGCCTGCGGGCTCTCCAGCGCTGAATGGCCCTTCAGGCTACGCTTCTCATACTCAGCTGCACTCTTTCCATTTGTCACCCGTTGTCAACTGCCTGCCCATCCTTCTCAGGCGTCCTGCTCAGGAGCATGTGTTTTGGTAAGGTTTTCTGCATGGAGAGGGGTCAGTTAGATGTGCTGCTGTGTATACGACACATAAGGCACTATCCAAGAAAGAAATGCATTTTTATTTGAAGGCCAAAAATTATGTGGTTTCTGATGTTCTTCCTGGGGGAGTTCATACTGTGCTCACAGATAAAGCCTCTCTCCTGCACAGATCACTGCTTCTTCCCAAGCAAAAGACTATCAAATCCAGTAGAAAGGCCCAGTACCACTCCTAATTCCTAACACTAAGAATTGTGCAATTACATATTTAATTCTTTGCTAGACATACTGATACAGTGAAACTTTGCTGCCTGCAATAATAGAAGATTTAGTCTCTCATGTTCTGAATGAGACTAGAACATGAAGTGAAGCTGTCAGAAAGCCTGAGTATTATATTTAATTTAGAGCTCTGTATATGTCTGTAGGCAACCTGCATTTATCCAGCTGCCAATGTAACCTAAAATATACTCTTTGTCTCACGATAATAGAGCTTGGGCCTTACAACAATTTCATCTTATGGCTTATTTATTATTCCTTAAATTCTGGCAATACACTAAACAAAATCTTAAATCATTATCTCCAGAAGTTTACAGACTAATGGCAAATCCATCAAAACATTTAAAGATTAAATTTTTTGATCTAAATATCATTCCTAAGGAGCTGTAAGATTGCAGTCCATAAACTTCATCAAACATTCTCCATTTTTACTATTAGCACTGTGTACTATACACAAAAGTGTGATGGAAGATATCTTTATTTTGTTCAGTGAAATAAAAACTACATTCTTTACCAGTGAAAAAAAATCCAAAGAAAATGCCCACTGCAAACTGCTGATAAGAGTCAGTGCAGTATTTTATGCCATATTGTTCTTTTTCTCGTGTTCTTCTGTTGCTGAAACCAGAAAATCTGTAGGAGACACAGCTCAGGGCTTATCCAAACCAGTGCAAAGCCCCCCTTTCTTTTCAGTGAGCTTTGTTTAAGGCTTTGATCATTGAGAAAAAAAATATTGCTAAGTAGAATAATTTTAATTCAGCATGAATTTATTTCTTGAAAATGATGGGTTTCAGCAAAATAAAATCAAATACACCCCTGTTTCTTAATGTGACTAGAATGACTGAAATCAGAGTATCTTACGACTAAATTTTTTTCCCTGCTTTTAGCTATGGTTAAAGGAATATGCTCTGTCTGCTGTGATGCAAAAGCACCTGTCTGAGAAACAAGAGAAGATGATTCAAGGTGTCGTAAGCAGACTAGGATGCCTCAGTGATGAGTAAGCATGGTTTTATCAGTAAGTAGTGGGGTAAAACTGCACTGCTGCATGCACAGATAAAAACTTGTATATATGACATTGTGGAAAGCAGTGTAGAGGGATTATGAGCATCTTCAAACAGAGAGGCAGTTACTCTTGTTTTTTGTCTAGGTGTCAAAAACAAATTAAAAAAAAACATGCTATGACTCCTAGTAAGTAGAAAAAAAGTTTTCTGTCTTTTGCCGAGTGATGTGCTTTCTATGTATCTCTTCCTATGTTTGTGAGTGATTCCTAATCTTGAACCGGCCTCTTTTTGCACTCCATATGTAACACTGGAGTTGTATATTCTTCCATACAAAATGTTCAGTCCAGCACCATTCAGCTCTACATATGCTTTCTGCTGTTACAATACCACTGACCATTGCTTTGCATCATAATGACTCCTCTCTTGTTCTCTGACTGCATTCACCAAGGAAGCTTTTAGTTTTACCTTCTCTTTTTACAGCTAAATATCTCTTTGATAGAGGTGCTTCTCAAAAAACATGTTTCTGTGTTATCTGCCTTATTTAGATAAAGATATCAAATGACTTCATTTACCATGGTCTTCACATTACCAAAGATCAAATCCTTTGAAGACTTGTCTATTTGAAATATTGGTATTATTGCCATTGCACCCCTTTATTTTGGCTTTACTTTTCAGTTCAACCTTACATTGTCACATTCCCTGACTTCAGTGTTTCCCAGCATTTGGTATCTGGAGAGTTCACGATGCCTTACACATACACAGAAGTTAAGATAAAGGCACAAACAATGTAATCCCAAATGTGCACACAGATTTAATTCACCTGGTCCAGAATCAATGTCAAAATTTACTCTCCTGTTTAAAATATACTACAAACTTGCTTCAGCTGTGTCTGCCCTGCTAGCTAACACTAGCCTCTTCAGTGTCTCTTCAGAGCGTGCCTCCTTGTTAATCCAAGATGCACTGTCCTGCGTTTTCTTGAAATAACTTTACTGTACTTCTGATTACATTCCTTTTCCATCTTATTTCAAGTCTCCTATTAAAAAAACTTCTATTATGTAATTATAGATGATTATTTATCTGTTTTCTTCCTATTTTTATTTGAACTTCAGTGTGACAGAACTAGAGGTCTATCACAGCAATACCCATTCTTTATACCTGAGCAGCTTTCAAAGGCATGCTTTGTACAAGAAGACATTACACAGAGTGAATAGTAACGCTTCTCATCTTTGAGCAGTGACTTTGCTGAACACAGGTGTGCCAAATCAGCAAGCAGGTTAACTAATTGATTTTTAAATGGTCCTTTTTTTACAGGTCTGTTAACTATATATTGCAAAAACACCGACTTCTGATGTGCTCAGTACTCAGAAGGTTAACCCTCCGAAGAGTTGGAATGGCAGCCCTGGCCCGCATGAGACTGTCCAGAAAGAAGAGCTTGCTTCAAGAACTGAGAGAGCAACATATCCTGCAGAAGGGATCCTCTCCCTGCCAAGATGAAGACCAGTGGCAGTTGCAGAAGGCAGTGGTAGGTACAGTGTTGGAGTGGTTTTCTCCAGAGGTCTCATATGCTATGATGTCTGGCATTAGAAGTAACCATAGAAGATCTCAAAAATAAAAATGTTCAAGTTCCAAACAGGAAAATATTCTCTGTCAAAAATGCACCCACTGCTGGCATAGGATGTCCCTGAGTATGCCTGTCTTAGTTTGGGCAGACATTTTAAATTCCCTAATACTTTATCTACTGGCTAGCTATCTGTGATCTGTGTTATCATAGCAAGCTTATTTAGCTATTTATTTTATATGAAAATACTAATGAAAGAAGGCATGCCAACATATATAAAGGACTTCTACACAAATTAGTGCTTCAGGGCAAAGTGAACTCCTACTAATTCTGTTAGGATCATAATACGCACTGAGAAGTTCTTACTTGAGCATCAGAAGAAATTCTTTCCTCCACCAGACCTAGCAAGTTCTTCCATACTGTCATCATTTTACATGCTTTTTTCTTTCTTGTCTGTCTGTGAGTTGTTCAGCATCCATTCCCCTGACATCCTTCTAAATAATCTGTCGCCTGTAGGTCAAGGAGATGGGAGAAAGTTTAAGGGATTTTTAAACTTGATATTCCCACTGGTTGCTTTCAAATCTGTTTGTGACTATTTTTTTTTTAGGGTTAATCCAATAAGTGTTGTTGGTTATTTACTTATCTGCATTGTATATTTATCTGGAGCAACACCAAATTTCAGTTTTCAAACTCAAGGGACCCCCCTAGCAGGTGTCAATGATAGCCCTTGTCCAACCCACTGCTGCTGCACATATGGGTTGAACCCATACAAAACTTTGCAGACCTGTGCTCCATGCTGTCGCTGTGTAATTAGCTGAGAGATAATATTTTGCATCCCTCTAATTCTGATTTGCATAATAATGCAAATAATGCATAACTCTTACTTTGAGAAACCTGGTCTACTGGGGATTGATGGGGTCCACCTGTCAGAGAAGGAGAAGAGCAATCTTCAGTCATAGGCTTGCCAAGCTGGAGAAGAGGGCTTTAAACTAAGGTTGCTGCAGGAGAGAAACCTCAATCCATCCTACTCCTACCAGTTTGATGCCAGTGCCAGCAATAGATGCCCAGAGCCTGGAGAGGGATCACAGCTCAGCAGAATGCTGGAATAGCAGCACAAAGGAATTCAGCTTCATCATGGGCACAATTTAAATGCTGCTATGCAAACACACATATTGTGGGAAATAAACAAGAGAGGCTGGAGATGCACGCACGCCTGCAGGGCTACGATCTGATTGGCATCACAGAGACGTGGTGGGATGGCTCCTAGGACTGGAGTGATGGAATGGAAGGACACAGGCTCTTTAGGAAGGATGGGCAGGGCAGACGAGGAGGGGCTGTCACCCTCTCTATCAGTGACCAGCTGGAGTGCCTGGAGCCCTGCCTGGGGATGGACAAGGAGCCGACCAAGAGCTTGTGGATCAGGATTAAAGGGAAAGCAGGGACAGGAGACGTTATAGTGGGGGTCTGCTACAGGCTACCCAAGCAGGAAGACCGAGTGGATGAGGCCCTCTGTAGACAGCTAGGAGCAGCCTCACATTCACAAGCCCTGGTCTTCACAGGGGACTTCAGCCACTCTGATATCTGTTGGAGGGACAACACAACAGGGCAAAAGAAATCCAGGAGGTTACTGAAATGGATTGATGATAAATTCCTTCTCCAACTGATAGAGAAGCCAACGACAAGAGGTGCAGAGGTGCTGTGCTGGATCTTGTTCTCGCCAACAGGGAAGGGCTGGTGGGGAGTGTGAAGCTCAAGGACAGCTTTGACTGCAGTGACTGTGAAATGGTGGAGTTCAAGATCCTTAGTGCAGCAAGGAAGGAACACAGTAAACTCCCTACCCCGGACTTCAGGAGAGAAGACTGGCCTCTTCAGGGATCTGCTTGGCAGAGTACCATGGGGTAAAGAGGGAAGAGGGGCCCAAGAAAGCTGGTTAATATTCAAGGATCACCTCCTCCAAGCTCAGGAGAGATTCATCCAAAGACAGGGAGTCAGATAAGAACACCAGGAGACCTGCATGGATGAACAAGGAGCTCAAACATAAAAAGGAAACCTACAGGTGGTAGAAGCAAGGACAGGTAGCCTGCTGGGAATACAGAGAAACTGTCCGAGCAGCCAGGGATCAGGATAGGAAGGCTAAAGCCCTGATAGAATTAGATCTGGCCAGGGACAGGGAGGTCAAGGGCAACAAGAAAAACTTCGATAGGAATGTCAGTGATAAAAGGAAGACTAGGGAAAATGTGGGCCCTCTCTGGAAGGAAACAGACTTGGTTACCTGGGATATGAAGAAGACTGAGGCACGCAATGACTTTTCTGCCTCAGTCTTCACCAGTGAGGGCTCCAGCCACACTGCCCAAGATGCAGAAGGCAAAGGCGGGGACTGGGAGAATGAAGAACTGCCCGCTGTAGGAGAAGATCAGGTTTGAGACCATCTAAGGAACCTGAAGGTGCACAAGTCCATGGGATCTGATGAGATGCATCCACAGGTCCTGAGGGAACTGGGAGATAAAGTGGCTAAGTTACTGTCTGTCATATTTGAGAAATCATGGTGGTCTGGTGAAGTTCCCACTGACTGGAAAATAGGAAACATAACCTCAATTTTTAAAAAGGGAAAAAAAGGAATCTCTAAATTGAAGAGACATGGATTTGACAGATGGACCACTCAGTGCATAAGGAATTGGCTGCATGGTTGCACTCAAAGAGTTGCAGTCAATGGCTCAATGCCCAAGTGGAGATCAGTGACAAGTGGTGTTCCTCGGGAGTGGTATTGGAACCAGCGCTGTTTAACATCTTTGTTGACAACACGGACAGTGGGATTGAGTGCACCCTCAGCAAATTTGCCAATGACACCAAGCTGTGTGGTGTGGTTGACATGCTGGAGGGAAGGGATGCCATCCAGAGGGACCTTGACAGGCTTCAGAGGTGGGTCTGTGCAAATCTCATGAAGTTCAAGGCCAAGTGCAAGGTCCAGCACATGAGTCGGGGCAATCCCAAGCACAAATACAGGCTGGGAAATGAGTGGTTTGGGAGCTGCCCTGCAGAGACAGATTTGGGGGTATTGGTGAATAAAAAAATTAATATGAGCCAGCAATGTGCGCTCACAGACCAGAAAGTCAACTGTATCCTAGGCTGCATCAAGAGAAGTGTGGCCAGCAGGTCAAGGGAGGTGATGCTCCCCATCTACTGCACTCTTGTAAGACCCCATCTGGAGTACTATCTGTGTTCAACTCTGAGGCCCCCAGCCTAAGAAAGACATGGACCTGCTTGAGTGGGTCCAGAGGAGGCCACAAGGATGGTCAGGGGGCTGGGACACCCCCCTTAGGAGGACAGACTGAGTTGGGGTTGTTCACCTTGGAGAAGAGAAGGCTTTGGGGAGACCTTGGAGCAGCCTTTCAGTACTAAAGGGGGCTACAGGAAGGCTGGGGAGGGACTCTTTATGAGCGAGTGTAGGGATAGGACGAGAGGTAGTGATTTTAAACTGAAAGAAGGTACATTTAGATTAGATGTAAGGAAGAAATTCTTTATTTATGAGGGTGGTGAGGCACTGGCACAGGTTGCCCAGAGCAACTGTAGCTGCCCCCTCCCTGGAAGGGTTCAAGGCCAGGTTGGACGGGGCTTTGAGCAACCTGGTCTAGTGGAAGGTGTCCCTGTCCATGGCAGGGGACTTGGAACTAGATGATCTTTAAAGTCCCTTCCAATCCAAACCATTCCAGGATTCTATGAATACAAACCCTAATTTTCCAATTGGAAGAGGAATAAGGAAATTCTGTCTGCTCCCATTTCCGTATTTGATACTTCTATTGAAGTAGTTCCTGTTAAGTGTGCAAATCTCATTAAGATTCAGAAGAAATAAAATATAAAATAATAAAATACAAATGCATATGACTGCATTCTTGTCATGTGCTTTCCACTACTCGCTCTCACTTAAATCCCACAGGGATGTTAATTGATGCAATCACTGTGTTCCCTAATGAAAATGAAATGTCCCCAGATATTACCGTTCCTTTGGCCTCTCTCCATTACAGCCTCTTTCCACGTCTAGCTAAAGCCCATCTCACAAGGAAGTGCCTAAAAACACACATATAAGATACTTGCTGCTAAAGAAGTGGGGCCCAGGTGTGGAATTGTGAAAAGTCAGAGAGAAGAAAATGTTATAAATTTAAAAGACCCAAAACTAGAACCAATGTATAAGGAGTTAAGGAAAAAGTTAATTTACAGACAGTTAACCAGCATTTTAGACATACCATGTTGTTTGAACTAAACTTAGGGTTGGCTTGTGCCAATTTTAGACTGGTAGACAGTGTCATGTCTTTCTGTTGTTTTCATATAAAATGTAACACAATACTAAAGAATCCTAGCTTGGACATGGTAACATGACATTGGGTCTTTTAAAAAAAAAAAAGATAAATGACTTAATGACATTCTGTCTTAAAAAAATCATTAAAATCATATGTGTGAGGTATAAAGACATGTCAGAATTAACCCAGCATTAATAGGGACATCATTATTTTCCACAGACAAATGTGAGCAGAGCAGGGGTTTTTTCTACTTGCATTTCTTATTTCCAAGAGGGTATCAAATAGGTACTGTCAAATCCCCCAGAATAATTTAATGTTATTTAGCCTTAAATGAGAATATTAATATGAGGGACATCAGCAACTCAACAGAAGGCAATCTATGCAAGACTAATATATGTGAGGAAGACAGAACAGGTTGTGCTGGTGAGTGTGTACTATTGTGTGCTGAAGAGAGTTTAGAGGCAAAGTGGATTTAAAAAGAAGCATATTAAATGGTGGCAAGGATGGTCCAAAGACCTCAAGGGGCTGGAACTCTTCAGCATAAAAAACAGGTGTCTCCTGGATTATCAGAGGTTTTAAAACTGGCATAAAATATGTGAATAGGGAACAATTTTTCACTTGTTTCTAATAAGAGTGCCGAATTAAGAAACGTGTGGATAAGCAGTAGAACTCAACACCACAGATGCCAAGAGCGCAGACAGTTTCCAAGTGCTGTTAAACATGTTCATGACCTCTCTCAGGGTCAGTAATACCAATATAACAAGTTTTCTCAGGTGAACCTCACAAACTGTACAAGTATTCCAGGTGCATAACCGTATGCTTGCCTTGTTCCTGTGCACTTTATCGAGGCATCCACAATTATCCTTTACAGGACTCAGAATATTTGACCTAGATTGTTGATATTTTTGGTAGAAGTAAGACCAAATTCAACAGCACAGAATACAAAGATGGGAATACTTCACTTAGAAATGACTATTGGGACAGGGTGCAGCTGTTATTGTATATACTGTGACAGAGGCAATAGTTTCATTGCAAAGACAAATTTGTTAAATGACTGTACATAAACTTCCACTGGAAATTAGATTATTTTAAGTATTAATAATATTCTGAGTGGGTGTAGGAGTTTCTTTTAAAGACAAGCTGACTAAGTTTGTCAGCATATTTAAATGGCAGTTCTATCTTTTTGTGTGATTACTAGGAGTCCCACATTCTGGAAGAGGAGGAAAAGCTTGAGGAAGAAACGCAGCAAACGCATTTAGAATTTCACCACCAGCTAGTCACAGAAATCCAAGAAGCTCTTCAGTTTCTTCAGCAGCACATGGAGCAGGTGATTGGGCAGACACTGCTGCAGCATGCCCAACGGGAAGCTGGAAAAAAGAGTTCAGATGATGGACAGGACTTCAAGGTATGGAAATGTTCAGCAGTGGTTTTCCAAACAAACTGAGTGCTATTTTGCTAAAGTGAAAGGCAATTCCACTTATGCATTACCCTGTGCCTGGAAGTATCAGCTGGAGGCCATTAAAACCTGTGTTAAAACTGAAGATACCTTGCAAAGTATTTACTTATTTAGAGGTACAGTATTTTCTAGTGACTTGCTATAGCAGGCAGAACAGGTTTAAGCCAAAGTGTGGAATGTAAAAAAAAAAAGAGTTCTTGATGACAGAGAGTAACAAAAATGAGGAAGAAATGGAGATGGTTATCTATTGATTAAGGTTTTATGGTTAAGTAATATTATTTCTGTATAAACAGCTTAATATTAATTCATGGATAAATAATTAAATAAAAATAAAACTTGCTTTGTAGCTTAATAAAATTGTTCCAAAGTAAATATTTAGATTTTCTGTATAATGAAAAGTTGTAGTTAAGCTACACATATATTGATTTACTTTGCTAGGAGTTAGGTTGACAGGTAAAATGGGCTGTATAGATTGAACAGATATGGGAATGGCCCCTTTGCAGATGCAGATGAAGCACATTAGAAAGATTTTGCTATAATTTTTCATGTTGAAATTTTCCACAGATTAATGCAATTACCTGTTTTCCAGCATCTCTGTGTGACACATTTTTAAAGCACAAAATTCACAATTTTGTGTGTGTATACAAAATTAGAATGGGTCTTCAGTTTTAGACAGATCAAAACACCTGTTTTTGACTTAGAAAATGAATTGTGACTTGAACTGTGTAATACAGGAGAGACTGGTGGAAGCTGCTGTAGAAAGTGTGTATGGGACCAGCAATAATATCAGTAGACTGGTGCAAAATTACTATCAGCAATTAGGAAAAATCACAGAAGACTATGAAGGTAAAAAGCTTCAGCAACTAAAATCCTTACAAGGTATGTAAGATACTGACAAGTATAAGATAATTCTTATTTTTTTAACAGATAAATTCATTTTCTTATCACTGTGAAGATTGTTTTTAAAGATAACAGGAATCTGTTATTTAAAGTAAGCAACAAAACGAGTGTCTCGGTCCATTTCCATCTTTGAAGGAGAAGTGATTGAACTGTTATTATTAGCAATTACCTGAATTGCAGTCATAGCTGCAGGACTCTGTTACTCAAAGTTTAGTACAGACATACACAGAACGATGACCCAGTGTTGGGGATTATAGTTTAACCATGAATTCTGGTTCACCAATCTAAGATCAGAAATACACCATAGTCACAGCCACCAGCAGTTGGTTTTCTGGTGCTCTAAACCTCAACACAAGACAGAAGAATGCAGAAAGCAAGGAGTTGCACAAGAATTAGGTTGTACAGCCAACATCTGCCATAAACACTATTCAACCTTGCATATTAATATATGCAAATAAAATTAAACAATGAGTCAAATACTGATAAAGAGAGGGTATATGATGGATGCCTACAAGCTGAATCTTTTCCCTGGATGGGGGGAGATCAGGGTTTGCAATCCCTGCTCCCAAGTTAGAAATCATAAACATCATTGGCAGTCTTCCTTCTCTGAGGTGATTGCCCTCAGATTTGTTGAGTGGATTCTTATATTAATTCCTTTTTTTGGCTCAGTGAAATGTTGTTATCTCTGAAGTTGAGGAAATGCATTAGAGGAGACACCAGAAAGCCAAGCATGCCCATCCTGAAACACTCTTTAAGCTACTGCATTGTTTCTTAGCTGTTAACCATGACCCTCTCACAGGTTGTGAAAATGCTGAAGAGGTTTATTAACTGCTGGATCTCACATAAATGCAGGCAGTGTCTCCTGGATTTATTTTTAACTGCTCAGTTCCTTCAGGACAGGAGAACAAAAGCAAGCTGTGATTACTGATGTATGTTGTAAACACTTTCCCCTCTCCTGGATAAACACTGTTAGCATTAAACGAAGTTAACAAGTTAGCAAAATGCCCGTAGCATCAGAGGCTACTATTTGAGACACATGGAACAGATTTTTTTCTAAAAATAGAGTTAGCCATTTTAAATAGAAAAGATTCTTTAACCACAGAAGAGTTTTTAAAGAGGAACAGGTGTATCCACTCAAGGCTGAAATTCAGAGATGAGTTGGTAGGAAGGATTTGTGAGTCACAATATTAGCTAGATATGTTTACTGGTTATAAGACAGAACTGATCTGCTCCGCACTGCCCTGTTGTGAACCTTGAAGACTTTAATATTCAAAGCTGAAGTGCTAGGTAAGGCAAAATCTGTGTGGGGATTTTTGACAATCAGTTACTGAAGTTCTCACAGAGTCCCTCTAAAGACCTCTTTGGCCCTGCTTCAGCCAACTACAGTGTCTAAAATCCCTTTGATTTGAGTTCCTTGAAGCAAGAATTAAAACTGAAGCCTGTTCCAGAATGCTTCTCTGAACCAAGCAGAGATAGATGTCATTACACACTTGAATGTTCAGTTTCATCGGTGTTTTGCTACTGCTCTCAACTGGTCTCCCAGTTAGTCTGTGAGACCTAGAATACCAATCACTAGAACCACAGTCAGCCTCCTGGTGATTGCTCATTTAGAGTATTTTTTCTCCTAGAGTTTGTGTGAATATGTTGTTGTTTCAGTGGTGTTTCATGAACTGCAAGGAAGAAAATTACACGTGTAAATGGAGCACATTTTCTTTTCAGCTGAAGAAAAATAAAATCCTTTTGCTGCAGTGCAAGTCTGCAGACATGAGGGAGGATGAGAGTATTTATGTTGGTAATAAAAGCAGGAGTGTTTTAGGTTTGGGTGGCCAGAGAGAAGCCCAGCTGAAATTCAAAGATCAAATGAACGACTACAGTGAAAAAATACTGCACACCTACATGTGCATGCTGTAGCCCAGCTGAGATTTTCAGTATCAACAGATAACTACTTCAGCTTTGTTGGTGCTTTTTACATTAGGAGTGAGCACTGCCATCTAATAAGGGACTTTGATGCTTTAGTACCTGTAAGTCCTCTAACTGAAGTCCAAATTCGTGCTGCAGAACCCCACTCCTTTCTCCTTTACGCTTCTGTATTGTCCCCAGAAGCACTTATATTTCTCTCTGTGATTCTTAACAGCCTGAAGCTCAGCTCTGGAGCACATCCAGGACACCCTAATCCCTGCTAGCCAGTCAACTACTTTTCATCCAAGCTCAGCCAGGAGGAAGAACATCCATGTTTCTTCCTTTTCAAAAAGGGCTGATCAATTAGGCGAACTCCAAGCATGATTAGCATTCTGAGAGTGTGATCTTACTCACCAAATGCTCTCATAACTTGTCTCTAAAACAGAAAATGGAAGAAATAGTGTTGGCAGTAGAGCCACCTGCTATGTGATAGCCCTAGGAATAGAATGGCCACATAGGAAAGTTCTTATGTACATAATTCAGTGATAGCTAATTGGGAGTAAGAATCATAATGCTAGTCTTCAGACTCCTAGTGACTGTACTTAATGTCTAGCTAGAGGATTTTGCTTCTTTGGGTGTCCCTTGACCTAGTAAATATGGTGGTGTCTGTCACAGCCACAGGAAAAAAGGTGGAGAGTACCTCCCCTGGCCCAACCAGCCCAGCCTAGCCTAGAGTGCAGCCAGTGACTGCTCCCTGATGGTGCCGTTGGCAGGAGAGGTACCTGTCAGCCTCTCCAAGCATTCAGAAAACACCAGATGTTCCCCAAATGAATGTTATGTACCCTAATGTGTTAAAAACCCATCCATCTCCCTCTTTCTATGTTTCATTTAAAAGCCATGCAAGGAAACTGGTCCTATCTGTCAACTTGCCGCAAGCCTTGCTGCCAGGCAGGGCTTCAGGGACAAGAGTCAGGAGCCTGGTCAGCAGGTAAACAGCAAGTTACTCACAGACTGTGATCAAACGCAAAAGTACCCAGAATACCCCTCAAATGAGGAGACATCCAGTGAAGTTAGGCATTCCCCAGACTAAGTGGCCTCTGAGTGGAAGTTTTCTTCATATTGCATTTTTCGTTTAGGTATTACAGTTCTTGCTTAAGGCATCAAGGTCTTTTCATAAAAGTTCTGCTTTGAATTCCATGTTAATCAGTTAGGCTAGTGGGAGAAGTAAGTAAGAATAGGAATTTAGTGACATTACCATCTCAGCTGAATGGTGCACAAACTATTGTCTGTGCAACAGATCACAGTGGCAGAGCAAGTGTGTGTAAGAAGTACTTGATATCCCTAAGGAGCAGTAACTTTGGAAAGACTACCTGGAAAAGGGATTAATTTGTGCTGATATAAAACATAAATTGTAAGGTTGCCACAACTCAGAGTTTGTAATTTTGAACAGAATATTTTACAAAAATGTTATTTCAGCAGAAAGAGGTGAAAGGGTCAGACTTGGGAATAAGCAAGAGAATGAACTAGCACTGAAAGAAAAACAGACCAAAGGCTTCCTGAACGTATCATCCACAGTCCATCAGAGGTAAGAGCAGGCAGCAGCACTGCTGACTCTATTCAAATGTTGTGAGTGTTTGCAGATCTACATAAATGTCTAGGTGAATAAATATCTTGGGTTTGCATTTTCTATTTGTCTTTGATGGAAAAGAAATATCTGTTGCCAAATTACGTCTACCCTTTGATCTCAGAAAATTACTTTTTTATTAAATAAGCTTTTTGATGCTCATTAATTACAGACTGAAGAACTATACATAGACAGTTTGAAAAGAGAGAATGAAAAACAATGCCAAAACATATGTCACATTTTAAAAGAAATTTAATGTAAATGTAGGATGGGAACCGATGCTGTCTAATTTATTACATTGCATCTTTCCAGCTTTGAACATCAAAAGTGTTTTTTAGTTTGCTGTTGAGTAAACACATACCATAATGAAGAGAAAAGCGTAAATAATACTCAAGATGACAAGAAGATTTCAGTGAATGCTTTGGACAACCAAGATCACTTGCACTAGATTTAGAGTGGAATCCCTCAAATGTTAATTAAATAAAAATCATATTTAATTAATTACTGATTTTATGAAACTTAGAGTTCAGACAAAAAGCACTGCAATTCCAAAGGAATAAGTTGTCATAAAAAGCTGTTTGACTTGGCATGCACATGATACATTTTTTTAATCATTTTATTTCTTTATTCTTCGTTTATTATCCAGAACAACAAAGCATCTGCAATTTAGACATTGTAAAGAGGTGTAATTCTTTTTTAAGACATTCTGTTACTTCTAAATTAAAAGAAATCATTGCCTGCTTTCTGGTTTTCATCCTTGTTTGAATTAGTATAAAAATGGATTAATGTAATAAAGGGCTTCATAAAAGATCTGTTAGTTATTCATTATCAAGTTTATAATTTATTCTGACATAAAAATTCACTTATAGCTGTTGTCTCATTTTTTTCTCCCATAATCTGTTCTAATGTCTTAAAATACAATCAAATTGCCCTTCATGCAAGCAGAAATATGGTATTGAAGAGTGTAACTATTCAGTATCTCAGCTGTCCTCATAACCATTAGTAATCAAACCCATTTTCCTATTGTCATTATGATTTCTTTTGCAGTCAAATCCCAGTCCTGGGTAAATTAATGACTAAATTTCCATTAATTTGTCTAACTCCTATTAAACTCAACATAGATTGTTTTATTTCCTTTTGCCCTTGATGCAAGGTTATGAGTGTGAGTTCAAAAAGCAAATTTGAGAGCTCACCTTTTGTAAGCATTGACCATTACAATAGCAGTTTCATTATGTGTAGATGTCAGAAACAATTCATGTTATCTCCTTCACTGAGGAATGCGATGGGTGATTGACAGCATTGCTTCAAGGTAGATCAGGCAAGGAAACAGAAGAAATAAAGATTCAGTAAAGTTGCAGTCATTTGTGTTCTACTGTATTAATATTAATCTTTTACCAGCAAAATAAAACAAGTGAAGAATATAGCTGTCAGTGCTCCCAGTTGCCAGGTTTTGAATTACCATGTTTCTGGCTCAGGCTCTGTCTGGTACTGAAGAGCCCTGAATGAAATGCATAAATCTTAATCCTGTATCTTCACACCTGATCTTCTAGCAACTTGTCTCTTTGGCAAGCAGACAGTAAGGCTGACTTTGAAACATACATTGGTTTTGAAAGCAGACTTCAGCATCAGGGCTGAACTCTGGCTCCCAAAGTCCAGGCATGGACAACCCAAACTCCTGCTGCAACTCCTACCTCCAAAAGGAGCTTGTATCCCATGGAGAGCCAAGGCAGGTTATTAAAATAAGTAAATCTATCTAAAAATCTACTGCAAAATTTTTTGTCTCTGTAGAAGCTGGATGGGCCGATACTGTTAATGTTTCTCTCTACAAAATGTTCTAAATACACTTTGCCTAGTTTGTATTCCTCCCTTGACCTGAACAACGTTGGTGCTGTTAAATCTCTCATGACCAGGATGGTGCTGCAACAAAAGAAGGTTTTAGCTCAGTTTGAACTGCAGCAACAAATTCGTCTGGAATCTCTGAAACAGAAGCTGCTGGGATTGCATCACCTAGAAACTGAGTTGGAGAATCAGCTAAAGGTAAATCAGGGTGAAATGACTCACAGATCTGAAGCAGTCCATGGCAGATCATTGGACAGGTTGTAAGGGTCTCTTCGCTGTCCTAGTTGAAATCAGTGCTCAGATTCACCACTGTCTTGTAGGAAGTGCTTTCCTGATGATAACCATATTGTTTCCTGTGTTTCTGCAATGACATATGCCTTTTTTGTCATGCCACATGTAGAATAACATAATCCAGACTCAAACTGTATTGTGTAAATTGACTTCTGGTTTATCCTTGTGCGCAGGAAGCAGAGCAGGACTTTGTGAGTGAGTTGGCTGCACTGGCCCGAGTTCCAGTGGCTGTGAAAAAGAAGCCTTCCAAAAGGAGCAAGCCAGCAGGTTGGTACAATACTGAATTGTTTAAAAAACCCCACATCATTCCACATACCAGTGCATGTTTTGCAATATTACACAATTCAGGAGAGATTTTTCATCAGTGCCATTTCCCTTACTGGGATATAGAAAAGTAAGGCAACCTTTCAAAGTCACCCAACTCGCCAATAGCAGAGACACAAATAAGTGTCACCATTCCTCACTCCAGAGCAGTCCTTTAGCCAATAGATTGCGTGTGTCCACTGAGGTAAGGCTTTGCCTTGCTCAAACCAAAGTTATTTTTCATGTCTTTACCATGTTCTTTAGAAATTACTCTGTTCACCTCAATCACTAAGTCTTTGGGAGGACAGCAGAGCTGAATCTCCAAGCTTTCATTTTCCTGGTAGAATGGAAGAATCGCCTTCCCACACACATGCTCAAAAGTAAAATCTTACTTAAATTATTTATATTAATTTACTGCAGTTTCAACAAATTAGACTAATTCATTATTCAAGAGACAATTAGGAACAAACTGTCAGAATAGCAGTGGTATTTCATGATCCACGCTTGGGGTGGAGCCTGCAAATTCTCATCCTTTGAGCTATGCAATCCTTCTGTCATTACCAGAGTGAAACAGTTGGCATTACGTTTGAAAGATGCTGAAAGGTGAGATGGGTGCCCAAAAGGGAAGAGCGGCTCACTCCTCACTCACCTGAACAATGTTGAAGTCTCTCTCCCTGGTCAATTGTTTCTCAAGCATGCAGAGCTGTTTGCCCTGGTAGGCACCATGACCCCAGGGACACATGTGGAAGCTTAGCTTAGGGCCCTAAAAACAGTGACTTCTTAGCATCGGATTGTTGTGATTCAAATCACATAAAATGATGAATTGGCTTTTCTTCTGTTTGCTGGTAGTAAAAAGCCATTTTCAATTACTTCCTAAGAAAATATATGATAGGGCTTTCAACTGTTGCACCTCATGGAAACTTACTTCAGTATTCAACAAGTGTGAAAGTTCAAGGTCTGCTCTGTGAGAACTAACCAATGGTAATAAAACAATATTCTAGAATGATGTGAAGTGGAATGCTTTCATTGGAGCAATAACATGTATGTATAAAGAGTTAAAGTGTATGTTTTTGCTTAGGTTAATCAAAACCAAACAAGCTCTGCTATGTGATTATTTTTTCTTTTAATCCACATGCATTTGGCAATTCAGGGGAAAAAACAAAAAGAAAGACCTCTCAGTCACCAGAATCAGCAGACAAAGATGATTCTCATGAAAGTACTCAAGATCCCCCTGGACTGACTTCTGGCTTAGGCAGGTACAGTAGACACTAAAAAAATGGTGTGTGAAAAACTACTTATAAAATGCAGTACAAAATCTACTTGGTATGTCAATCAAACCCAAAATATAATGCCTACACTAGCTGAATGGCTTCTTTAATAGTTACATGTACATCTCACATGTACTTGACCTTTTTTTTCCCCGTATTCTTTTTTAAATTTAGGAAAATCATCTGAGTTTGCTAGTCCGTGCTGCTATATATTTTATAAATAACTTTGATTTTAGGTAGAGAAATGAGGAATACTGTTTCCAAATTTCCTTTAATTACGTTTTTTAAAACCTGAGTCACAGACATCATAAATCAGCAGAGACAAGTGAATCCAATGGAACTAGGCTGACATGTAGCAAACAAAATATGGTCTGTGGTATTTAGGCTTTCAACTTCCACCTTTATTTCAGGAACAAAGGCAAGCGCCAGTCTTTGGCTGATGAGGGTAGCAGCTCTAACAATGATTTTCTTGATAGATGTTTCAGTTGGCTTATGCTGGGGTGCTAACTAGAGGAGAAGAAATGGCTACAAACCTGAAAGATGCCAGCTGATTACTACGGGCAGATCAAACCAGCCAGCTGGTCGCTGGGGCTTGATATATTGAGCAGAGAAAATCCTGTTGACAGGCAAAGCAAACAGTTGGTTCTCAGGAGCCACAGGCCTTTGGGGAAAAGTATTTATCCCCTGAGTGACCTCAGCCTGGGACTGACTTCAGGAGATGGCTCCTTTCCCTGATGGCATCAACCCTTTTCACACACTCCTTTCCCACAGCCAACAAGGCATACGTGTGTAGGGAACAGGGACCTAACAAAGGAACATTTATCTTTATGCAACTTCATTTTGTCAGCCTCAGCAGAGGCGGCTGAAACCAGTGAGTGTAGAAGTTATATAGCAAGTGCCTTTTTTCTCTTATCAAAATTAATTTACTTTAAGAGAGAACTGTAGCATTTTAGAAACACCGTCTACATTTTTTTTTAATTTTTCTTGTTTATTTCTTTCAGAGAGAGGTTACAGAGTCCACATGAAGGGGAGACTAAACCAAAGAAAAACTCAAAGATGCTAAAAAAAAGAGGCAACAGGTAGTAAAAGTATTTATATGAGCTGTCTGAACACAGAGTACCAAAGCATTCTTCTGGGGAACTTCAGCAGCTATAAATACTTACTGAGCTGCTCTACTGAGGAACAACGAAGAACATCAATAATAGCCACTGAGAAATCTTCTTTAGCTACAGAGCAAGAATCAACCTCGACTTCCTTTAGCTGTTAATACAACATTCCTACTTGGTTTTGGTAAGGGGCAGCAAGGAATTCTCTTCCAGATCACTTGGGGAATGTGGAGGTGGGATAGTTTTAGATTAGGAATATACTTAAGGAAAGAGCACCTGTAGGATAACAGATCCACACAAGGCTGGTTACCCAGGTCGGTGTATCTCAGTAAGGTTTCATTACAGTAGTGATGTGCTTTTGAGCTTTTAGGGCTTTTGAGCCCTAAATGTGGTAGAGCAGATCTTAATATTTTGTGATGTTGCTTTGGACTAACAAAAATAGATAGAAATGTAAAGAATATGTGAACAGACTTCAGATGGTGTTGGTACATCAAAAGATTACATTTGGTCTGTCGTCTGTTACATTGTAGTGCTTCCAAGGCTATGTATGCTTTTTTAAATTTGTACAAGGATTTTTATAAACATATTTCTCTGCATTTGTCTCTGATTTCAAATTATTACTTTTAGGAAGAATGAGACAAAACCAGTTTACTGTTTCATTTTTTATAGTTCAGTTTCTCGTCTTCTTAAGTACACTCTTTTGTTTCCAACATACTTTGTTATGCTCATTACGTTTCCTATGGGAATTCTTCTTGTTATGCAAAGCAGCTAGTTCTTACTGGCTGTACAGAGCACCTGTATTGTGTAATAAATTACCCCACTTAAGCAATATTCCAGCTTTCATGAAATGAACATTTTCTGCCTTTTAAAAATGATCATACATTTTGGTAACAAAAAGGCTGTCCTTTGGCTCATGATGGAAAATACTGCATCAGTTATGCAGTTTACCTCAGACGAAAGTGCAGCCACATAAATGACTTTACCAGGCATGTTACACACAATTGTTAAATGGTTAATTTTCACCTCAGACTCTGTAAAATTTTTTTTTTCTAAATTGTACAACTTCAAGCATTTGATTCTGGTATTTCAGTACTTGGGCTCCATGGTCTCTCAGCTTTCCTGATCAGCACGTTTTAGTTGCTGGTTGTTGTGCTTTTTTTAAAACAGATGCAGCATATTTACCTCTGTTTGAACATCTTAATTTTGCAGGGCGCTCTACATAGATGGCAAGAAGGAAGCTTTTAATATTAGAGTTGATGATGTTTTAAACCATGCAGAGCGGCAGTGGCTCCCATCACAGGATGCAGCATTATCACCCAAGCGGGGTGTCTGTAATTACCCAAGCAGGGTCTCTAATCACCCGAGCGGGGTCTCCCCGATGCACTGTGACTTCTTTGGCTCGGCAAGGCTGAAATGGCTTTTTCTCTCCAGTAGAAAACAGGGAAAAGGTTCAGATTATCCCAAAAGCAGGGCAGCAGTGCCCTCTCCCGGGCAGCTAGCAGGGTTTTCATCCCCTTGCTGATGGAGGTGAGGGACAGGGGGCCGCGGGAAGGAGCCAGGGAGGGTGCTGGATCTGGCGGGACCCCCACCAGTGCCCCCGGCCGTGGTGCGGGCACTGCCCGGCCCCACACTCCGGGTGCCTGGCATCCCTGGGCAGGAGGTTCTACAAACAGGCAGTTCTTCTCTGCTCCCTCTGTCACGTTAGCTTCCTGGCAAAACACACACTACTGTTGCCCGTTACTGACTTCTCAGTCTCCATGAGCTACTCCATGGATTCACGGTCCTGTTTGAAGTCGTGTGCAGATTTCGTGCATAGGATGGCACTTGCCATCACTCCCTCTCTGATGCAGATACTGAACAAGACAGTTTCATTAGACTAAGAAATAAGTGTAGCAAATTCTAAGCAAAGCTCACAGCAGTTGTTCTTCAGTTAAGCACGGGCCAACTTTTCTGTTAGGTTATAGAATCATAGAATCATTTAGGTTGGAAAAGAATTTTAAGATCATCGAGTCCAACTGTAAACCTAACATTGCCAAGTCTGCCACTAAACCATGTCCCTAAGCACCACATCTACCTGTCTTTTAAATATGTCCAAGGATGGTGACTCAACCACCTCCCTGAGCAGTCTGTTCCAGTGCTTGACAACCCTTTCTGTGAAGAAATTTTTCCTAATATCCAATCTAAACCTCCCCTGGCATTATGTTATGTTGTTTTGTTATGTTATATGTTAAGTTGTTTTTCAACTTTAACCATAGTAACAGTATCCTGATGCTGAAGATCTCCTTCTCATCTCCTGACATAGTAATTACAGACTGTGTTATTTTACCTCTGGCCCCTCAGTTCAGTTTAAGACTGTGTGACTGCTTATTTCTGAGCCAACACAGAACAGTAGAGACAGAGATTTTTTTCTTGATGCTGTGAAATACTTTATCACCAACCAACAGCTTATTGCAACAGTTACAGTTTTCCGCACAAACATTCCAGTTATTCAGCAAATACAAAAAATTCTTTGCCATGAAAGTGAATCACAGGAACAGTTAATACAGAGAGAGTGCAGAATATCCATCCTTGGAGACTCGACTGTCAGCTGGACAATGTCTTATTCAACCAAACTTTGAAGTTAGCCCTGCTTTGAGTAGGAGGCTGGGCTCCAGATGATACCTCTTCCAACCTAAATCTTTCCGTGATTCTAATATTCCTTTCTACTGATGTGTTACCAAAATGTTTGGTGCTTCCCTCCCACCCCGCCCCCCCCTCTTTGTATCTTCCCTGTGTTTTAAGGGATGGTAGAAATTGCTGGCAAGACAGGGATTGTGACTAGACAGTCCTTGGGAGAGAAACTGCTAAGCAGTCTTCCCAGCTGAGAGCAGTCTCCAGCACTGTGGATGTCAGATGGGGGAAAATGGGATACTTAGGCATTACAGCTCAGAACACTTGCTTATAGTGTAAATCTGTAAATCACCCTCTCTTTAGTTAGAGGCTAACAAGGAGCTTTGATCATGCTTTACAGGTACATATCAAAAACATTTGTTGCCAAAATTTAGGGAAAAAGGCCTTTTTCTCCTTTCTTTAACATCAAGAGTAGCAATTATTACAGCAGTTTATGACGACTGTGCTCAACCTTATTCACAGCTTTATGACAATGATGTATCTCAAATTCTAGGCCTGGTGTTAAGAGTTGTTCAGTGCATTGTATATCATGCAAGAATCAAACCAGCCCACAATGGTCCCTCTGCTGTAGGAAAATGTGAAAAGCCTCATCATGCAGAAGTCCTGCTGAAAGGCAGGCTGGACCATCCTGAAGAGGTGTGCAACTTAAAAAACTTGTGTTTGGGACATTCAAGCTGGTGCCAGTTCCTCTGCAGTGAGGGCGGTTTCATTTCTGACGTAAACAAGCACTCCTAAGTCACACACAGAGGTCCTTTGATCCAGCCTGTGCACGCAGTGACCCAATACCAGGGCAAGCACCAGATTAGCACCTTCACTCTCCATCATGGCATCTACAACAGTCTTTGGGAGCCGTTCTAACATCCAGCGATCATTATGTACAACAGGTTTTTGGTCATGTTTCTTCCATTTGAACAAATGCTGCTTCCATGTGTTCAGCGGAGACCATGGGGGGCTTAGTGTGCAGGCTCCCAGGGCACCCCGTGCTGCCTGGGAGCTGCCTCTGCGCTCGGAGAGCTCCTGGCCTCGGCCCTTCGCAGCTGTGGCCACTGCAGAGCATCAGGAGAGGGGACAAGGGTCTGGACCCTGCCAGCTGAAGACTTTCAGGAACAGCATTGCAGTCACCGATGTATTCGCTTAAAGCTTTTTAAAGCAGTATATATGACTATATAGTTAAAAATAGCCTCGCATGTACGGCTCACTGTGCTAGAAGATTACAGAAGTTGGGGAGTGGGGCCGAAACCTAACCACTTTATCCATATTGCTACAATTACTTCATGAGTTACATGATACTCGAAGAACAGTATCCCAAACTCTGCATTGTTACATTGTAAGACATTATTCCCTCATACACAATTTATTCTTAGTTGAATACCCCTCACTGTCATTACTGAAATATATCTGGAAGGCTTGTGCAGAGTTCATCACAATCATGATGAAAAACTATCCTCAAATCAGTTTGTTTAGATCACTAAGATGTAATACTGACCATGTCTAAACAGCAAGAATTAGCTGGCGCCAAGTAGACTAGCTTGAAGCTTTGTCATCATGCATTAAGTTGTGTAACTCCCTGCTCCAGGAAGCCATACGTGCCAAGTTTTTACCTGGGTTTAAAAGCGCCTTGGCAAATTTATGGCAGAAAAATTCACTGACCACTGCAAAGATGATGCTGCTTCTCAAGACATTACAAGGCACTGGAAATGAGGGAAACACTCAGCGAAGCATTAGCACTATATGTTTGCTCTTTTCTTCTAGCCTCCCATAAGCTTATGTTGTTGGCTACTGGAACCCAGAGTAGATGGTTATCTGACTTGGTCCAGTCTGCCAAGAGAAACATTTAATGGCTGAGACAGCTGTCAGTTTTGGTAGTCTTAGCATCATAAACAGGCTTTCCTACAAATGCTAAAATTCAAACATGAAACTGCATTGCTATGGTATCAGACAAACTGTAACACAAGACAAACTGGTCCAGACTGTCAGTCAAGAAACAATCCACGGATCCAGCCTTCTCCACATCACTTGAATGAGAAAAATAATTCTCCAACTGGTTATAGGGACTAATTTTAAGGGGTCTGCAAATAGCAATAGGGAAGAGCCAGTTTTACATCATTAAGGATATATTGGGTATTAAAAGGTCATAGCCCTGCTGCAAATTTTTAGAAGCCTGACCATTGAAAAAGCATGAAAGCTTTGTACTGCTTTCTTCTTGTAGTTGAGACAACAGCTGCTCCTCACCCACAAGTTTACAAACAGGAATCTCCCACCTTGATGCTCCTACAAGGGAGTAAACTCAAGTACAGGTACCTGTTCTGCAGATGTATTAAGGATCACCTGCTAATCCACATTTTATTTACTGAAACTGCTTTAGATTTTTTAAGGACAGGTTAGTGATGTAGGGGCAGGGGCATTGCTGTGAAATAGGTCTCTAGGAGGTAAGAGAAGCACCGCTTGCCTTGCTTTATTTAACCCCCCGATGAGCAATGGCATGTGCCATCTCCCTGATGAAATATCACAGTAACCATCCGAGTGAGGCATCCTTCACCTCACCTGGTGACCATGCAGTGAAGTACCTGTGCTCCAAAAAAATGCTGCTTAAATCCACGTAGCATTGCATGTCCAGAGTGCAGAGACCCAGGCACAGGACAGGATCCGCAGGCTTCCTGCAGGCTGTCCCTCAGCAGCAATCAGGCTGCGGGGACTTAGAAACATCATGGGCACACTAGCATATTTCTCCTTGGAGAAATCATAGCAGAGTTACATTGACCTGACAAGCAGAGTCATATTCTCACAGAAGCACTGAACCATGAACACCCACACCTGTATTTATTCACAGATACTTCACCGTGAAAAAATAAATGCATGTTAACAACGGTGGATCTCGACTAGCTTGTAGGCAAAAGGTTCTTTGGTTTAAGATGCTGTTTAGTGT